GAACAGGGGGAGGACTTGAGGTCTGAGGAGCTCGAGGACGTGGTGAGGGCGAATGCCGTTTGTTTGGTTGTGGTGACCGGGCCTCTCGGGTGGAGCGGCCTGGGGAAGCCCCTTTCCTATGCTTTGAAGATAAGGAGGGCGAACGTCTCTTGGTGACTGGGGGGATTCTCTGTTTGGGAGGTGGAGAGTGGGAGACCCGGCGCTTTGGTGGTGGAGATGGTGATGCCCTTTGCTTGGGCTGGGGTGGGGGTGAGGCGGTTCTCCTCTTTGGAGGTGGGGAAGGAAAGTATCTCCTCTGGATGGGAGGAGAGTATCTTCTTGGAGAAGGTGAGCGGCGGCGTGGGGGAGGAGAAGGAGTCCTTCGTCGTGGTGGTGGGGTGGGAGATCTGCGCCGCCCGAGGAGGAGGGGGGGGAGGAGGAGGAGGAGCTGGAGAAGGAGATTGTCGCCTTCTGGCTGGTGGTGGAGAGGGACTTCTCCTCCTTCTACCACGAGGAGAAGACTCTTTCTGGCGCTTTCGAGGTGATGGAGAGGCACTCCGAGAGGGGGAATGTCTCCGCCGCCTGCCTACCTCACCATTCTTCACATGGGATCTCTTGGGCTGCTCATCTTCTGAGGTGGAAGAGGAGCCAGAGTCAGATGAAGACTGCTGGTTCTGTCGTCTATACTGGCGCCTCTGCTGCACAGAATCCGCTACAGCCATCTTGTTGCCTTTGTCTTCAGACTCAGACAACTCCACTTTTCTCGGCTTGTGCTGGTGAAGGTGACTCTCTTTTCTCAGTACCTTTATGTTTTGTCACTTTACCCGAAGTTCTTCCTGGAGACACAGAAACTCGACTTTTTCTTGTACGGTTCGACTGCTGGGGGGTTGGGGAATGGCGAGTTTTAGGTGGTGGAGTTGCTGGAGATGATGGCCTGTGCCTTCGCCTAGGAGGACTTGCTGAAGGAGATAACCTTCTCGTTTTTCGAGGGGGGCTGGATGTCCTCTTGGGAGGCTTCTTTGGTGGTGACCGGGAACGAGATGAAGAGGACGAAGAGCTACTTCCAGACAACGATGCGGAAGAGCGCCTCCTTTGTCGGCCTGGAGACCTACTCCTCCTGTGTCTTGGTGGAGGGGGCATCCGTCTTGGTGGAGTTCTTCTTCGAGGAGATGGTCGCCTTCTTGGGTTTGACCGCCTTCTAGGAGAGTAAGACCTTGATCGGGATCTATGTCGCCGTCTTGGTCTAGTATGAGAAGGTGATCGAGAACGGGTCCGAGATCGTGATTTGGAACGTGATCGCGATCTTGGTCTAGTCTTTTCCTTTTCCTTTTTGGAATTTTTTTCTGGAGAAGGTTCTTTGGGCTCTGGTACAGGCTCAGGCTTGGGAGATTTCAGGATGTCACTTGTAGACGTGGCCTCCTGTACTGAAGAGTCTTTTGTTCTCACTGATGGTTCCGGGAGCTCTGGAGATTTCTCCTTCTTTTCTGGGGCAGGGGAAGGGCTCCGGCTCTTGGTTCTGTGACGGGGAGATTGAGAGTGACTGAGCTTTCTCTCTCTCCTGACAGGGGAAGATCGTCTTCTAGGGGGAAGGAGATCTGGATTTGCGTCTCCGTGGGCTGCGAGACGGCTCCCTTTTCTCTCTGCTGCTCTCTTTTTCTTCCTTATCCCTCTTATCTTTATCTTCATCTTGTTTTTTCAGAGATGCCAACTTTTCTTGTTCGATTTGTCTCTGTTTGATTTCTTCCTTCTTCAACTCTAGGAAAGCAGAGGGGATCCCAGCGATGTTCTCTTGTGCACTCAACAGCAGGGGCCACAGCTCTCCCATGAATTCTCGAGCGTTTTTCCCGTTCAAAAATCCAGTCAGGTTGATTTGCATCATTTTGGAATCTGGATTCTTCACTTCCAGCTGGTTGAATATAAACTCAATCACAGCATCATCTTCAAATCCAAGGATTTCAGTTACTCTTTTTGTTATCCAAGGCTTTATAACCTCCAAATTTACTTTGCTCATGTCCACCTTTTTTTCTAGACATTCTGCGAATTTCAGCTGCTTGAGGAGCTTCTTCTGTTTGTTGCTGAACCGATTATCCTGTTCCGCACTTGTTCTGCGTAAGAATCCCGCGTCCATCTTGCTGCCTCGCTCGGAGATCCATGATGCTATTCTTAAGGTTGCTTTTTTCTCCTTTTTCTACATTCTGATGTTCAGGTCTTGCTGTTGGAGGAGGGCTAGATTCTGGTGATGCCATATTGCTCTTTATGTTGTATGTATTTTTGCCTTGATGTCTGCCCATCTCCTCCTCTAATAGATATAAGAGGTGCCTGTATCTGAGCAAGTTGCTACTGGTCCACTCTCTGTTTGTTGTGTCTGTGTCTCAGGGAGCCCCCTCTGGGTCCAATCTTAGCTCTTGGTCTAGTTGGAGCAGACAGAGTCTATGTCTCAGGGAGCTGCTCTTGGGTCAACCCAAGCTAGTTGATTCTGTGACTCATGGAGCCCACTCTTGGTCTTATCAGGGCTCTTGGTCCAGTCAGAGCTGACAGATTTTGTGTCTCAGGAAGCTTCTCTTGGTCCAATGAGAGGTTGCAGATTCTATTTTTTAGAAAGCCACTCTTGGTCTAATGAGGGCTGGTGGATTCCCTGTCTCAGGAGATTACTCTTGGTCCAATGAGAACTCTTTGTCCATTGAGAGCTGGTGGATTGTTTTCCCTGCCTCAGGAAGTTACTCTTGGTCCAACGAGAGCTGGTGGTTTGGTTTCCTTGACTCAGGAAGTTGCTGGTGTCTCAGGTGGATGGGTATTAGGGCAGGGCGTGTAGATTGCAGGGTCCAGTTGTGGGGGTGAGGGGGTTGGTGGTGGTGAAGCTTCCAGCTGGAGTTTTCCCTGCTGGTCAGTAACTGGAAGAGAGTTGGGTGGGAGTTCCTGGGGACTGGTTGTGTCCCAGGGATAGGTCGTAGGGGCCTAGCCTGTGTCTTTTAAATAGTGAATTGAGTCCTTTGATATTATGGGATATTAATGAGCAGTGATTGTTAATCCTTGTTATCTTTTGGTGGTAGTGTGTGTGTATTTCCCTTCTTTGGGATTTGCTGATGTGGGCTTATCTATTGCCTGTGTTTTCATGGTTGTATCCGACTTCCTTAGGTTGGAGTTTTCCTTCTAGTGCTTTCTGTAGGGCTGGATTTGTGGATAGGTATTGTTTAAATCTGGTTTTGTCTTGGAATGTCTTGTTCACTCTGTCTTGGTGATTGGAAGTCTAGGCTGGCATCCTTGGTCTGCATTACATCTGTGTAGGACCTTCTGGCTTTCAGAGTCTCCATTGAGAAGTTAGATCTTATTCTGATGAGTCTCCCTTTATAAGTCACTTGGCCTTTTTCCTTTGCTGCTCTTAATATTCTTTCTTTATTCTGTATGTTTAGTGGTTTAATTATTATGTGATGAGGGGACTTTTTTTTTGGGGGGGGGTCTAGTCTATTTGGTGTTCTATAAGCTCCTTCTATCTTCATAGGTATTTCTTTCTTTATTTTGGGAAAATTTTCTTACAGGATTTTGTTGAATATATTTTCTGTGTCTTTGAGTTGGTATTCTCCTTCTATCCCTAATATTCTTAGGTTTGGCCTCTTCATGGTATCCCAGAATTCCTAGACATTTTGTGTTATGGCTTTTTTGGCTTTGGTGTTTCCTTTGACTGACGAATCTGTTTCCTCAGTTGTATTCTTGCCTGAGATTCTCTCTTCCATCTCTTGTTCTTTATGCTTGCATCTGTGTTTCCTGTTTGTTTATTCAGATTTTCTATTTCCAACATTCCCTCAGTTTGTTTCTTTTTCATTGTTTCTATTTCAATTTTTAGTTCTTGAACTGTTTTCTTCACAGGTTTAATTGCTTTCTAATTATTTTCTTGGCTTTCTGTAAGGGATTTATTGATTTCCTCCAATTTTTTGTTTGTCTTTTCCTCAATTTCTTTAAGGAAAATTTTCATTTCCTCTTTAAAGGCCTCTATCATTTTCATAATGTTATTTTTATGGTCCCTTTCTTCTGCTGCTTCTATGTTATGATGTTCAGGTCTTGCTGTTGTAGAACCACTAAGATCTGGTGATACCATATTTCTCTTTATGTTGTTGACTGTATTTTTGCACTGACATCTACCCATCTCTTCCTCCCGTAGGTGGAAGAGGTGCCAGTGTCTGAGCGAGATGCTCTTGTTCCAATCTGTGCTTGCTGTGTCTGTGTCTCAGGGGGCCACTCTGTTCCATTCTTAGTTCTTGGTCTAATTGGAGCTGGCAAATTCTGTGTCTCAGGGAGCTGCTCTTGGCTCAATCCAAGCTTTCTGATTCTGTGTCTCAGGAAGCCACTGTGGTCACAGGGGGAAAGGTAGGTTTGGGATAGGGTGTGGGTCTTTTAGATTGCAGGGTCCAATGTGGGGGGTTGGTTTGGAAGCCTGCCCATAGGAGTCTTCCCTGCTGGCTGGCAACTGGGGCAGAAATGGGTGGGAGTTCCCAGGTACTGGTTGTGCCCCAGGGCCTAGGACTTAGAAGCAGGACTCTGGGTGGGAGCAGAATCACTCACCTCTTGGTTCATTGAGAACTGGTGGATTCTGTGTCTCAGGAAGGCACTGGGGTCACTGGAGGATGGGTAGGTTTGGGGTAGGATGTGGGTCTTGTACATTGCAGGATCTGATCGAGGGTTTTGGTTGGGGAGCCTATCCTAAGGAGTCTTCCCTGTTGGCTAGCAACTGGAGCAGAGATGTGTTGGAGTTCCCAGGAACAGGTTGTGTCCTACCCATTATTTTAAAATAAAGTCTCTCAGTTGACTTTTTGCTGTTGAAACATCTTCATTTCACAAATCCAACTTGTGCGTGCCAGAATAACCAGGAAGCAAAGTTTGAAAGTTACTGTTGAAAATCAATATTTATTCTACCTCCCTATTCTGCTCGACTCAATTACTGTTAAGGAAGCAAAGAGCGGGGAAATGAATGTATCTGAAATATCATTTAGCCAGTATAAATTGAATTCATGCGTTAGAGCTCTGGACCATTAGTTGAGACAAGGCCTCTACTGATAATTATCAAACAGAAATAATCAGCCATAGAAAGTCAGCAAGCATCAATCACTTCTATTTTCATTAAACTACATTCCCTTGTTTATTAGATGATCATGCCATTGTGCATGTGGAGGTCAGAAGACAATGTTGAGGGCTTAGTTCTTGACCTTCACCATGGGATCCCCAGGGACAGATCAAGTCCTTAAGTTTGGCAGCAAACTTGTTTGTCTTTACCACTGAGCCACATCTCCATCTACACCATTTTTAATATGACAAAATTATGCTATAACATAGTTGTCCTAGGTGGCTGTCTTTTTTTTTTTTTTTTTTTCCCGAGACAGGGTTTCTCTGTGGAGCTCTGCGCTTTTCCTGGAACTCACTTGGTAGCCCAGGCTGGCCTTGAACTTACAGAGATCTGCCTGGCTCTGCCTCCCAAGTGCTGGGATTAAAGGCGTGCACCACCACCGCCCGGCCCTAGGTGGCTGACTTACTTGGGATGTCTATTGCTGTGAAGAGATACCATGACCAAGGCAACTCTTAGAATGGGAAATCATGTAACCTGAATGGCTTATATTTACAGAGGCTTAGTCCATTATCATTATGGTGCAACATGGTGATGTGCAGGTAGAGATGGTGCTGGAGATGGAACTGAGATTCCTAAATCTCAACCATGGGTAAGAGGAAATGGTCTGTCTCACTGGGCATGGCTTGAGCATAGCTGTGACCTCAAATCCCACCTTCCCCGTGACAGACTTTCTCCAATAAGACCGTAGCTACTCCAACAAGACCACACCTCCTAATAATGCCACTTCCTAAGATATTATCTGGGCCAATTACATTCAAGATACCACAATTTCTAGGAATCCCCAAGGATGACCCCAGTTTAGACTACTAGCAATAGTGGAGAGGGTGCCTGAGTTGGTTTACCACAGTAATCAGAACAGTGAATACACTCACTGTCATCAAAGAGCCTTTCTCCAGTAACTGATGGAACTAGATGCAGAGATCCACAGCCAAACACCAGGCCAATCTCTAGAAGTCTAGTCAAAGAGAGAGAGAAGAGGCATTCTGTGAGCAAGGCATCAAGGTCAGGATGGAGTAACCCACAAAACAACCAAACCAAAATAGTGGGAACTCATGAAATTTAGATCAACAGCTGTGGAGCCTGTATGGGAATAGACTATCGAGACAGTTGTGTAGCTAGTTCTGCTTAAGGAGCCCCCCTGGCAGTGGGATCAGAATCCATTCCAGGTACATGAGCAGGCTTTTTTGAGCCCCTACCTATGATGGTTCACCTCACACAGTCTTAGGCAAGGGGAGGGGCTTGCACCTGCCTCTTCTAAATGTACCAGGCTCTGCTGACTCTCCAAGGGAGGCTTTAATTTCTTGTAGGACGGAATGGGGATGGGTTGGAGATGAGGCTCAAGGGGCTGAAGGAGGAATGAGGTGGATCTTTGATTGGTATGTAAAATGAATAAAAATATTCTTTTTCTTTTAAAAAGTTTTTTTTTTTTTTTTTTTGGAGACTCTCTACATAGCTCTTTTTATCCTAGAACTCATTATGTAGACCAGACTGACCTTGGACTCACAGAGATCCGCCTGCCTCTGCCTCCCAAGTGCTGGGATTAAAGGTGTGCGCCACCACCGCCCGGCTCTTTTAAAAAGTTTTTATTTATTTATTTATTTATTATTTATTTATTTATTTATTTATTTATTTATTTATTTTTATGTTATGTGCATTGGTGTTTTCTTAAATGTAGGTCTGTATGAGGGTGCCAGATCTCCTGAAACCAGAGATACAGACAGTTGTGAGCTGCCCTGTGGGTGCTGGGAACTGAACCCAAGACCATTCAGAGAGCAGCCAGTGCTCTTAACCTCTGAGCCATCTCTCCAGCTCCCCCAAAAAAATTCTTAATAAAAAAAAAATTATAAAAAAAATAAAAAGATGGGTCATTTTTGAAAAGTTTCGGGGAGGGAGATGTCCAGAGAAAAAAGTTGGATGTGCTAGTGGTGAAAGTGTCAAATATGCCTCTGAGGCCAGCTCTTTGACACTGTGTGACAGCATCGTCATCTACAAAATCCATGCCCTAGAACCAAATTGAGATACAAGAAAC